CTCCCTCTCTCTTCTCCTCTATCTCTCTCTTCTCTTTCTCTTTCCTTTCTTCTTTCTCTTTCTCTTTCTTTCTTTCCTCCTTCTCCTTCTCCTTCTCTCCTTCTCTTTCTTTCTCTCTCTCTCTCTCTTTCTCTCTCTCCTCTATCTCTCCTCTCCTCTCTCTCTCTCTCTCTCTCTCCTTCTCTCTCTTTCCTCTTTCCTCTTTCTCTCTCTTTCTCTTTCTCTTTCTCTCTCCCTTCTCTCTCTCTCTCTCTCTTCTCTCTCTCTCTCTCCTTCTCTTCTCCTTCTCCTTCTCCTTCTCCTTCTCCTCTCCTTCTCCTCTCCTTCTCCTTCTCCTTCTCCTTCTCCTTCTCCTTCTCCTCTCCCTCCTTCTCTTTCTCTCTCTCTCTCTCTCTCTCTCTCCTCTCTCTCCTCTCTCTCTCTCCCTCTCTCTCTCTCTCCTCCCTTCTCTCTCTCTTCTCTCTCTCTCTTCTATTCCCAGACGCCACCATGGTAGGACTCCGACGTCCGGCCGCGTGGAAAACGTTTCCTCTAAACGTCATTTCTACCCCTTTAGTCTCTTTACCCCTTTCCCTCTTCCCCTTCCCTCCTCCCTTTCCTTGCCATTTAGATGTCATCCTCCCTTCTCCTTACCTTTGCCCTATTTCTTCCCCTTCCCCTTCCCTTTCCATCTCTTCCCCCCCCCCATTCCTTCCCTTGTCCCTACCCACACCTCTCCCCATTCTCTTCCCTTTCCCCTTCCCTTTCTTCCCCCCTCCTCTTCCCTACCCTCTCCTTCCCCTTCCCCTCCCCTTTCCTGCCCACCTCCCCTCCACTTTCCGCCATTGTTTTCTCCTTCGGGCCGCGCGCCTCCTTCCCAGTCCCTCCTCGCCGCCGCTGCGATGCCACCCTGGCCATGATTAAACGCGAATGCCTCTAATAAGCAGAGCATTACAGCCTGCGATGACTCAGCCCGCCCTCAATATAGCTCTTACCCTCCTCAGAGAGCGTGCCCCCCGCCCCCGCCCTCCCTCCCTCCCTCCCCCCCGCCCGCCCCGAGCGCCCCCTCTGAAGAGTCGTGTCGGGTACTTACCCTTCCTGAGCGTGAGCTGGTTCTCGCCCTGGGCACGGAACTCGTAGAGCGCCACGAAGAGCTGCGGGTCGCCCTCCTCCTCGGGCGCCAGCAGGTTCTCGCGCGAGTGCCACTTGGTCGCCGCGGCGTTGGTGGTGTTCGCGTCGCCAAGGGGCGTCGCGGAGGTGACCTGGGCGGCGGCGACGGCGGCGGCGGCGGCGGAGACGGAGACGGGCAGCGGGCTTTGCGCGACATGGGCGGGGAGCGCGGACTGGATAGTGCTGACAAAGGTGGCGCCCACGTGTTGAGACTCCGGGGGGCCGGGCCCGCCCATGGGATCGAGGGCGCCACCCCCGCTCCCGCTCACCACGTCGGGCAGGTCCGGCAGCGGCCGCGCCGCTAGGAGAGCCTCTGCAAGAGAGAGAGCGTTAGGTTTAGTAACGACAAAGCTACGGGACTAGAACTACTGAGCACAGGGTTTACAGCACCAAGTCTAAGCCCTCGTCCCACGAGTGGCAACTACTGGTCTTACTCTACGGGCGCCGCCGAAGCAGCGCACGAACACCGCCCGCGCGACCCACCTGCCTGCTTGCTGCGGGTGCCCACACAGGCGCCCATGTCATACTGGATGAAAATGAACCGTGCACTTGCAGAGGACGCGTGTCACAGCGCCCGCGACCGTGGGCATGGCGAGCCCACACCGCCACTCCGTTACACGCGGCCGACCCCCAAGTCCACATCCACACCCATCCTCAGAGCCGCCCGCATCTCTGGCGTGATGGCCTCGCCTCCCCGCTGCACATGGCGAGCGCGGCCGCCCATCGCGGGCCCTCCTGATCACTCGTTTCCGTTGTGGGCGACTTGCTATGCCTAACACACTCACGCACGCCCGCTCACTGCTCGCTCCGCCCTCGGCCGACCACGACACGACAACCACGGGCGTGACTCAGGGCGCACAAGACGTATCACTGACGGCGCTTCTCGCTATCACCTGCCGGCCGGCCGGGCGCCTATCACCCGCCCGGATAACAGCACAGAACCCGCTGATAAACAACACCTCACTTCCACCACACACTTCACACGACGACACTTCACAACACCTGCTCCTCCTCCTTCCTCGGCGCCGCGCGATGCACTCCCTCGGCTCTCCCTCCAGCACTCGAGGCCGAGCGACCCTCGGCTCCCCCTCGGCAGACGCAACACGACCCGGAAAAGCTCAGGGGAAACGACCGGACTCTTTCCTCCTCCCTCTCTCGCGGCGACACAGCGTTCCTCCCCCTGCGAGCGCGTGACATGGAGTGCTGGGGCCTCGGCTTATTTGGCGCGGGGGCGGCGGGGGGCTGTCACTCCCTCAGACAGCTGGGCCGAGTGGAGTTCCTTATGCCAGCTGCGTGGAGTGCGGGTTGCGCTCTCTCGCTCTCGCTGTCTCGGGCTCTTTTTTTTCTGTCCTGTCTGTCTGTCTGTCGTTTGTCTGTCTGTCTGTTTGTCTCTCTGACTGTCTCCTCTCTCTCTCTCCCTCTCTCTCTCTCTCTCTCTCTCTCTCTCTCTCTCTCTCTCTCTCTCTCTCTCTCTCTCTCTCTCTCTCTCTCTCTTCTCTCTCTCTCTCTCTCTCTCTCTGTCACCACGTGGCACCCGGGCAGAGCTCCACGAGACCTCGCAGACAACACAAGGGCAGGAGAATCCACGAGGACGTTGAGCGAGAACGAACTCCAGAGGGAAGCGAGGGAACGGCGAAGGTGTCGGAGCGGCACTCGAGACGCAACTAACTCCAACGTTCGAGGGATGACAAACACTGCCTAACACCCCCTCTCCCCCTCCCCTCCTCCTCCTCCTCCTCCTGCTCCTCCCCCGCTACCCTTCCCTCCCACCCCCTCTTCCTCTTCCCTCATCCCTTTCCACCCTACTCCCCCCGTCCCCTC